ACTTTTACGGCTATTGTAGAATGGGCTTAACTAGTTCATGAGTTATTGTACTTCTAATTTTACATGTGTTCTTATGGAAAAACAGCTTTAAATTCCACAGATTTATCTTGTTCTACAAAATGACTGAGAAAGAAGGATCATTAAATGAAGTGCATGATATTGGTACGTATGATTCTTTAATTAGAATAATTGTATTTATAAGTGTATTATTCCAAATTCTCTTAAGCAGTAAATAATTATTGTATGTATATATATATATTTAGTTGCAGCAGAATTCAGTGGACTGATGCAATGGTGAAATTGCTGTTAACTGAAATTAATAAGCATGTAGAACTTGTGACGAGTCCAGTAAATAAGCAAGTATAGAAAGACATTGCTGCATCAATAAATATTCATGGTTACAATTTGTCGGCGGAAAATTGTAATATTAAATGGAATGGAATGAAAAAAAAATATAAAACGATAAAAGATGCAAAGAATAAAACGGGCGCAGCAAGACAAAAGTGGGAATATTATGATATTATTAATGACATGTTAGTTAAAAAACCAGATATTGTACCATTGTCTACAGCATCGAGCTCACGTGGCTTTCAATTAAATCAAACTGCTTTAAGTACATCTGAAAGCACAAATATAGAAACTAATTTTAAAAACTGTACTGAAGAAGAAACTAATTTTAATAACTGTACTGAAGAAAATGAAGAAAATTTACATTCAATACAATCAACTAACTTTGCACAAAATCGAATAGTAAGAACAAGATAATCCAAAACACCAGCTTGGGTTGAACAATTAATTGAACAAAGACAACAACATTATGAAAGAAATTATGCTCAGCGAGAGAGATTTATATCCTTATTAGAAAAATATTTAAACAAATAAAGTTATATAAGTTAGTAGTTACATAAGTATTACAATTACAATTTTAAAAGTATAAAAGAATGTTATATTAAAAGTATTAAAAAAATGTGATATTATCTAATCATATTACTATATTATAACATTTTTCTTTTTTTATTGTATTCAAACATTCCACTGTTTTTGTTGGACAAGATGTCATATTTTTTTTTGTTAAAGATTATTATCTTCTCAATACTTTACATAAAGTTATGTTTGTTATAGACAATTATATGAAAGTTGTATAAAAGTTAATAATACAAATACATATAGTGTAATATTTTTTGCTACAACAAACGCTTTTATTTTTATTTTTTATGTAAAGTTAGACGTATTTAAAAGTTATATATAATAAATGTATTAAATATAATTACGAATTGAATTGACATTCTATCTGTCTTATTTCATATTCCTTTCCCTTTAAAATTATAGCGTGTGTGTGTGTGTGTGTGTGTGTGTGTGTGTGTGTGTG